ATAAGTTTAATAAATTAAATAAAAAAAAACCTTATAAAGTAAATATATATGTTTTTAAAGTTATTTAACATGTTTTACATTTATATACTCCTTGTATTAACATAAACTAACTCATTGTCAAACTTAACTGTATGAGGTGGTAAACCTCAAAGGATTTCAAAAAAGCAATTACTGATAAAGAGAAAGCTTAAGGAACTAGAACCTTCAAAAGGTTTACAAAAGTTTATTGTATTAGGATCTAAAGTTTGTTATTGAATATATAATTTTAAAAGTAAATGTTATGATATCTTCTATTTTAACAAATTATAGGAACCAAAAAAAGAACAAAAGTTGAAGTTAAAGATAACAATTATGATCCAGAACAAGATAAGAATGAAGAATCTGGTGGATCTTTAGAAGAAGACAGAATAAATACAAAAGCTCATTTAAGAAGAAAATGAAGCTTGACAGTTCAGATAAGGAGGTACAAGAAGTTATAGAGGTTAAAGAAGGAAGAGACGATGATGATGGTAATCTGGACATCAAGAAAACACACTGCACAGTGCACACCAAATGCAGTATTTGATATGATCAAGGAATTAAGTGAGAAACAGAAATTAGATGTCATAAGTGTTGGATTTGGAGCCTTGCTTGAACTAAAACATTATGATTGCCACATGTACAATCAATTGTACACTTATTAGTCTACAAATTCATAATTTTCGCCATTTTTTGCCAATTTTTCGCGATTTTTATTCGAAACTTAAGAAATATAGATGATAGAACTTCAATTGTGCTTATATAGCATAATTAAGCAGTTGGAAATGGCTGTTATGGTGGTTTTCCGAAGATTTTGAGTAGTTGAAAATGGTAGAGGAAAGAGAGAAGAGAGAAATGGCGGAGGAGAGAGACAAAAGAGAGAGAAAATGGCGCCTAAAATTTTGTGAAAGCAATTAATTTGTCTGAACTAAGAAACATGGGACAAACAAAAAGGAATGGAGGGAGTACGAAGTAGTAATTAGATTATTGTAGGACATTATATTAATGACTTGCTAACGAACGCCCCCGGGGCGTTGGATAAGCATTTCAAATATTGCCTAAAATATTTTAGATTTTAACACCTGCTAAAAACCCGGAAATGGTTTTTAACACCTCCCAAAAAAAATGATTTTAACACCACCCAAATTTCAAAAAATTGGGTATTACCACCACTTAACTGATTCCGTTTACAAATCCGTTAATTAAGGCTATACAGACACGTGTCGCTTTATTATGGGCCAAAAACAATAATAATAAAAATTAAAAAAAAAAAAAAATTTAAAAAAAAAAAAAAAAAAAAAAACCTAAAACTACCCCCAGCCACCCCAGCACCACCACCGCGCCACCAGCATCGTCCCCTAACCCACCCACTGCCGACGTCCGGTGTCCCAGAGAATCACCCGGCGCCGGTGACCCCACCCCCACCCCCCTTTCCTCCACCTATGCACCCAACCCCTTCCTTTTCCCCATTTTCGTTTCCCGACCCACCAACCCAAAACCACCCTAAACGCCCCCTCCCCTGGAAAACGCCCCTCTCCCCTTCCTCCTCCCCCGGAAACGCCCTCCTTCTCCTTTCCCATTCCCTTAATCGATTCCCTACCACCCCAAACGAAACCCTAAAACCCATTTAGGGTGGTTTCGGGGTTGTGGGTCAGGAAACGAAAATGGGGAAAGGGAAGGGGTGGGGTGCGTAGGTGGAGGAAAGGGGGTGGGGGTGGGGTCGCCGGCGCCGGGCAATTCTTTGGGACGTCGGACGCCGGCAGGGGGTGGGTTTGGGGACGACAGTGGTGGCGCGGTGGTGGGACTGTGGTGGCTGGGGTAGTTTTAGGTTTTTAATTTTTTAATATTTTTTAACAAATAAAATAGTGACACGTGTCACTATGGACCACATTTAATGGAATTTTTTAACGGAAACCGTTAAGTGGTGGTAATACCAATTTTTTGGAAATTTGTTTGGTGTTAATACCCTTTTTTTTTGAGGTGTTAAACCATTTTTGGGTTTTTAGCAGGTGTTAAAATCTAAAAAAACCAAAATAGTATTAATTTATAAAAGCATGACAAAATCACGCGTCGATCGGTGTAATTAATGTTCATTTTAATATAATCTTTCTACTTTTAGGCTGTTAGCTTTTGCCCTATATTAATAACTTTAGATCAAATAGTGTTTTATAAAAGTGAAAATTTTCAAATGCATGAACCCTTTAACATTTGATAAAGGAAATGAAAGTTAATTACTTAATTAGCCAAATGATTGAAATTTTTGAATAATCAAACCCTCTATTTATTCTAAAAGTTAGAGAAAACAATAGGCATATATAGGAACTTGTATTAGATAATGACACCCTAAGCAAGTAAACCAAAACACATGAATGATTAATAACAGTATTCGTAAACTACGGGTTCGTTTGGCATCACTGTAGTTTTCTGTTTTTTGGTTTTTTGTTTTTTTAAATCATATGATATATATCATGTAATGAATAAAAAATTAGTCAAATTTATTAAAATTATGATAATTTTGAAAATTGACAACCAAAAAGTGGAAACACCTTTTTCTTGTTTCTTGTTTTTGGTTTTTAATTTAAAAAAAAAAAAAAAAAAAAAAAAAAAAAAAAAAAAAAAAAAAACTGAAAACAAAAAACAAAAAACAATGCCAATCAAGCCCACGATGTTTTGATTATTGATTTCTAATCTTCAGATTTTCTCTTTACAATTAGAATTAGAAATTTTCTATTAGTTACAATATTTTTTTTTTTTTTGACAAGTACTATGTTACATCATAGCTCAATGTAAAGTTATTACAACATTACATCATAGCACAATTTAAAGTTAGGAAATTTTAGAAAATAATACCTACAAAATCACAGAATTTTGTTTTTAACACCATATTTTTCAAATTTTTATTATAACACCACTTAAAAAAATTCAATGTTGGTTTCACCACCAGATAACGAAAACTTTGACGGAAATTTTGAAAAGGGCCCACATAACAATTTACCCTCCAATTTTCATCCTCCTCAATTTGATTATCTCTCTTCTTCATTCAATACCCAACTACTCCTCCTTCATTCAATCAATTCTCTCTTTATACCTTCAACTACTTATCAAGAATTAAACCCTAACAATTTGAATTGTGTGGGATTGAATTCGAGTTGGATAGGGAAGTGTCAGAAGTGGAGCGAAACAAGTCAGCGAGTGGGCGTCAGCCATTATCAACAACAAAAATGCTTGGATTTTTTCGTGGAATCTGACAGAAATAGCAGCAAGATTCCAAAATAGGTACCTTTCGAATCTTTTAAAGTTATTTTAAGCATCTGTTGAAGTTAATTATGCCATTTTCATTAGTATTCTAGGGTATTTTGGGCAAAAAAATTGGGAACCCTAAATAATAAAGTGAAATTGGGTGTGAATTACTTAGTGTGCTGTGCGATTTTCTAATTAAAATAGAATTTGCTTAAGTGAAGTATGCATTAGTGCACTTAGTTTATTGTTTACTATAATTCATTGATTTTGTTGACCTGTTCACTCTTTTGTCCTTGGTTTTGTTGACTGAAGTTTGTTTAGTTGGTAAAATATGTTTGGTATTGTTGATTAAAGTAGTACAATTGACTGTGTAATTGGGTTAATAGATGATGGCCTATTTTAACTTCTTCTGCATATGTTTATTGGGTAGATAAATGGCCAACAACCAAGATGGTTTAATTGATATAGTGTTCAGAGTTGGGGGTGCTTTTGTTCCCAAAAGGGTGTCACAAACAAAACATTTGCTTTGCTGGTGTGGTGGATTATGTTATTGGAGGAGGGATGTGGTACAGGATAGGATAGATGTGAGTTATTTGAGGGAAGCTGATGTGCATGGGTTTGTGTACTATAATGTTCATGTCCCTCCTAACTATAGACTGTGGTATCAACAAAGAGGAAGGACTTTTAATACAGGGAGAAGGGAAATACTAAATGAAGAGGAAGTTAAGGGGCTATTAGAGACAGTGAACTCAGAAGGGTATGTGGAAGTTTTTGTGAGTGCAGATGAGACCTTAAGGCCCATACATCAGGCCCAGTCCACTCCAGAAAAGGGGGAGAGAAGGGGGAAGAAAAGTGAGGCAAAGAATGTACCACTGAGGAAGAGCCCAAGACTTAATAAAAGTTTAGTTGAGGTGTCTGAAAGGGAAAATTCTCCTAAACCTAGATCTAGGCAGGGGTTAGGTAAGGGGATAAGAGAGACTGAAGGTGTTTCTGGTAGAGAAAAGTTGTTGGATAAGGGGAAAGGTAAAGCTAAGGTTGAGGGGTTTTCTGGTGGTAGGAAGGTGTTGGATAAGGGGAAGGGAAAACAGAAATCTGTAGCAAAAGGATTGGTTTTTTAGGATAATAGTGACTCAGGGAGTGGGGAGGGATATTCTTCTACTGACAACAGTGAGATTGACATTACTTGGGAGCCTGAGGAGGAGGAGTATGACAGTGGGGATGAAAAATGGTTAGTGCAGAACTCTGAGGAGATATTGGAGAAGGTGACAAGAAGTCTTGGGAAGCAGCTAGATGTGCATGATCAAGGTGTTGTGAAGGACCCTAGGTCAAAGTTGAATGAAGATTTAGATGTAGCTGAGGCTCAAGTGCAGCAAGGAGTTGAGGAAGAGTCAGATGATCTAAGGAGCTTGGATGGGTCATCTGATGAAGAGGACAACAGTCCTTGGTTCAATGAGAAAACTGACTTCAGTAAGCCTGTTGTTCTGGTTAATAGGCTTAAGTTCAACAATGTTTTGGTTTTGAGGAAAGCCCTTAGAGTGCATGCCATAGAAAATAGATATGAGTACTACTTTTTACACAATGACAGTAGTAGGATTACTGTGCAGTGTAGGAATAGATGTGGATGTAAGTTTGGCACAAAGACTAGTAGGATGCCTATGTGTATATGCAAGGGTGGAGTGAAGTGAAACTTTAAGATTCATGCAACAAAGTTAGTTAGAGCACAAACTTGGCAGATAAAGAGTATGAGGTTGGAACACAAATGTGTGAGAAGCAGAGAGAACAAGAAGGTCACTGCAGAGTTCATTGCAGAGAGGTACCTTGAGGAGTTCAGAAGTAATCCCTCATGGAAGATTAAACAGATTAGGGATAGGGTTTTGCAAGGTTTGGGTATAACAGTAACCTACTTTAGGGCTTGGATGGCAAGATGTAGAGCAAAGTTGATAATATTTGGTTCAGCAAGAGAGCAGTATGCAAGGGTCTGGGACTATGGGAAGGCAATTATGAAGTATAACCCAGGGTCTGGTTGTAATGTGATGGTGGAGGGCTTTGATCAACCTGAGCCACCTATCTTTCTGAGGATGTTTGTTTGTCTGAGGGCTGTGAAAGATGGGTTTTTGAAAGGTTGCAGGCCAATCATTGGGGTAGATGGGTGCCACTTGAAAGGAGCTTACCCAGGGCAAATTTTAGTTGCTGTGTCCAAGGATGGAAACAACGGAATTTACCCTATTGCTTGGGCAACATGTGAGATTGAAAACAAGGATACTTGGATTTGGTTCCTGCAATCATTGATGGATAGTTTGGGGAATGTTGATGGAACAAGTCTGACTTTCATGTCAGACAGGCAAAAGGTGTGCCAATCATCTTTTGATTTTGTACTTACTTTCTGTTCTGTCACTTGTTCAATATATACTCAGATGTGTATGTTTTGTCCATGATACATAGGGTTTGGTTGAAGCTTTAGCTACAGTTGTCCCAAATGCAGAGACAAGGTTTTGTGTTAGGCATATTTGGGCAAATTTTAAACTGAAGTTCACAGGAACAGTCTTCAAGGAGCTTTTTTGGAGTGCTGCAAGAGCAACAACACTGGTAAGAGCAACATCTTCTATTTGTTAGTTTGTTACAGTTCTTTCAGTTAGATTGTTGTGAGTTATGTACATTCCTTAGGTTAGTAACTTGGTTTTAATCTGGTATTTTGTAGCCTGACCATGAAATGGCAATGGATCAAATCAAGGAGCTAAACCAAGAAGCTTATGATTATTTGCTAAAGATCCCCACTAAACACTGGTGCAGACATGCATTTACTGAGAACTGCAAGTCCAACATGTTACTCAACAACATGTGTGAGACTTTTAACTCAGTAATTAGGGATGCAAGAGACAAACCTATCCTCACCCAAATGGAGTGGATGAGGAGATACATGATGAATCGGAACAATGAGAAGTGGGAAGACTCTAAGCACTTCAGAAGCAATTTGACTCCTTATGTTCACAAGCTGTTTCAAAGAATCAGCTATGTGTCTAGGAATTGTATTATTCAAGCTGCCAGGGATGATACATATGAAGTTCAGCTTTATGATGATCAGGTGCTAGTTGATTTGGGGAATAACACATGCTCATGTTACCATTAGCAGCTCACATGCCTCCCATGTGTGCATGCCTTTGCATGCATAATGGACCATAGGAGTGATGCAGAGCAGTATGTCCACCCCTATTACAGTATGACCTCATACAGAGCAGCTTATGAGCCTGCTATTCAACTAATGTCAGGCCCAAAGCACTGGGAGAAGGTGAATATGAGAGAGCCTAAGCCGCCAGCATTTAAGGTGCAGCCTGGGAGACCCAAATTGAAGAAAAGAAAATTAGAGCCTAAAGAGGGAACATCTGGTGCAAGGCAGGAAGAGGGAAAGAAAAGGAAGAATCAGTGCAGGAATTGTGGTGCTTATGGGCATTATGCTAAGACTTGCAAGCTTCCAAAAGTACCTGAGCCAAAAGAGTAGAAATCAGCTGGAAGGCCCCCATTGAACTCACCCTGGGTAGTTGAGCAAAGGAAGAAGAGTGAGATAAAAGCTGCAAAGAAGGTAAGCTTTGGTGACTTGTTCATTTAGTATTAAATTAGATGTTATTGTTGGATGTTGAAGCCTGTTTTGCTTAACAGAGTGCAGTAGGGGCTGATACAAATACCAAAGGATCACAAACTCAGAATATTCATCCAAAACCAGCAGCAGAGCACCCCCTCCTGTAGTCAGCCTGAACCAGGATACAAAACCAAAGTGCAGCAGACTGGAGTGCAGACTAGGAGGGCTAAGCTGAATACATTCAAGGATGTTCATTTGACTCAGTGAATTATGTTATTGAACTTAACTAGATTATTAAGTCAACCTTCATATTTTGAACAGCATCTTATAGTAGACTAACTATTAGAGGTAGTATTATGAACTCTTAGTTTGGTGTTAGTTTTAAAAAAGCCTATTTTGCATCATAAAAACTTTGGTGTTAGGTTGTAAAAGCTTATTTTTAATACAGATTAACTAATTTGATGTTTTTATTGCAATCCACACACTTCATTTCAAGTAAATATCAGTACAACTTATTGCAAAAGAACATAGCAAATTCATTCATTAACCATTACATTTTAAGCTAAGGCTTACAACATATTGAAATGTTCATGCCCCAAATGAAACTACACTTTCAGCATTACAAACCCCCCAATAACTAGCATCAGTAACATGACAAAACTAATCCCAACTAAAACACAAACAACAGACTGCTCTGATCTTCCATTTCTTCCATTCAAATATCTATTCATCTTCTTCCTGTCTGAGTTTAATGCCTTGCATTTCATCTTCAGGCTGTCCACTTCATTTAACAAACACCGCATCTGTCCACCTAGATCATCAACTTCCCTTTTGTAGTCAGTAATTTCTCCTTTCAAAAGCTTTTTGTCCAACAACAAATTGTTGATCACCTCTGTTTGCCAGGCTGTCCCATCTGGTTCATCTGCCCATTCAAATAATTTACAACCCCTGCTCTCAGTTACAGGGCCATAGAACTTGCATGTTCTGAACTTCCGACCAGGGTTCTCCCTTGTCCAACTAGTGAGCTTTGCAAGAGGAACACCACACTTGCACTTCTTCTCTCTTGAAGGAGAGGAAGTTATGACAGACATCTCCTGCATCAATATACAATCCAAAGCAAGTAAATGAAACAATTGAACAAAAGTAATCAAGCAATCAGTCCTAATTATCCAGAACCCCAATTCAATTTTTCGACGAGCCCTAACTTCATTTACTCACAAATATTGCAATTAATTCCTGAAACTAATCCCAAATTGTATGAGTACTAGCAATTACAATGCGCACAAAATCAATGACTTATGCCCAACATACAACAACTACTTCTAATTTTTGTAATAATTAAGCAGACAAAACTTAGGGTTTTATTTAGAAATTTCAACCAATTACCTTTTTCCAGATCTTCTTTCAACGAACAAAGATGGCAACTTCTACCAATTTTTGCAATTTGGTTGTTGAAATCATTGAATTTGAACCCAATTTTTGTGAATAAGTTGAATAAGTTGCAAGGAAATCGCAACTATATAAAAGAGTTTGACAAAAATAGCCGTTATAGTGGGCCCCACAAACAGTTCCTCCAACGGCGTGCGAATTTAGGTGGTGAAACCAACATTGAATTTTTTTAAGTGGTGTTATAATAAAAATTTGAAAAAATCTGGTGTTAAAAGCAAAATTCTGTGATTTTGTAGGTGTTATTTTCTAAAATTTCCTTAAAGTTATTCTAGTCTTCTAGACGACTAGAGTCAACCAAAAAATCATACGAAGTATATACTTACTTGTGTAAAGATGAACTTGTAAGTATAATTGAAAATAGCAAAAGAAAATGAAAATCATAACTTGCCTAGTGTTAGCTTGCTCCTGAGAAACTTCAAGACGAGTCTTAACTTGTTCAGAAATAACCCCAACAGCAAGAAAACCAACCCAAGCAAGACCTGCGCCGAGGCCGGAGCGTCGGGTCAAGGAAGATGTTATCCAATCAGTTGAATCTGCAGTGGTTGAACCCTTAACATTATCATTCTTAATACTGGTATAATTATTAGTTTCTAATCTTTTGGTGTAATTGGGTTCTTTAAGGAACTTGAGCTTAGTTGAGGTGTTTGAGAAGGCGGAGTAGTTGGTGGTTGAGGTGGTGGTGTTTTTGAACATGGTGATAAAGTGTTCGTGAGAGTGTGGTGGAAAGAAATTTTATATATATATATATATATATATATATACTACCTCTGGTTCAATTTAGTCGCAACAAAGGACAACTTTACGTAAACCAAGACAAAACTTTTAAAGGGCTTTAAGCAATTTGTAGATTAAGTAATTAAGGGAGTAAAATAGGAGGGAAACCATGTGGTCCCTTTTTTCAATAAAGTTAAAGTAGTGAGAAAACTTGGTGAGGTAGACATTTCCCACCCAAAAAAATATGATTTTTCACATGAGTCTCCCATTTTGACTTGAGTGGGATTTTCCTCCCTATTTTTAAGCCAAATTGAGGAGGGAGTTCCCTTTTTTTTCTTTTCACACTAATTTCCCTCCCAAAATTTCAAGCCAAATTGAAAAAAATTAGCAAATACCCCCAAATTTGTACTTTTCATAACATTCATACCAAATCCCCCTTATAAATTGAGGAGTTTCCAAAAGATTTCACTGTTTGTTTTTCAACCAAATTAGAGATTAGGGAGGGGTTGGGGGGTATAGGGTTGATAATTAAGGTTTTACAAAACAGAATCCCTACAAATTACAAAATCCTACAATTAGTTTTAAATTAACCTAAATTCACAGTGCTAAGTTAATCAAAAGTAGCATCCATGTTCAGTTCTTCTAGGCTCAGTTGAAGACCATCCAAAAAGTTCCAGCCACCACTTCATCACCTTTAGACAGCCTGAAAAAATAAAAGGAAAGGACTCATGGCAGAGTTATTTGAAGAACTCTTTTTTAATGAAAATCAACTGTACAATGAGGAGCAAACAATAGCATCATTTCACAGATGAAGGCTACTTTGAACCAAAAACAGAAGAAAACAGCAGCAACTCAAAAGAAGAAGCTGGTTATGATGCAGATGATGATGGTGAACAACAAGGTGAAGTTCATATGCATGGCAGACAAAGCAGTGAAATGACAGTGGAAGAAAAACGCGCCAACTTTTTTATGAGATTATGCTCAATATGGAGGGGGACTCAATGCCAAGAGGATTTTTATCCAGTTTGGCGAGAAAGCATTATGTGCATAGATCAACAACAACAAGATGGTTTCAGGTAATTGACGCGAGGGTAGAACTAGGTCGTTGAAACTAATCCTCCCTCGGTCAAACTAGATTTACAACACTTAACAAACCTAAATACAAGTATAGAGGCAAGTCAAGGGTTGAACCCAAAGGAACGATAATGTTCAAGCGCTCTTAATTATGCGCTTAAGCTAGGTCAAAGACAAAGATAAAGAGAGAATACTAACAACTAAGAAACAAAGAAACCAAACAAATAAAATACTAGAGAATGGGGATCAACAAGTAATCATGAAAATTGTAGCGATTCGGGAACATGATGCAAATCAATGGTTGAGAAGACTAATGGTAAAAGCAAACAAAAGAGCTCGACAAGCTATCTCCTAGAGGTCTAGCTAACTAGCGCCAACTACGAGAGACACTAACTAGGAACGTCACAAATCAAACTCAATCGACAATTGCAATTCCTAAATCAATGGTCTGTATCATTAGCAATTACAATGCAAACTAGCACAATTCTCAAGGCCTATTGAATTACACACATGCACAATTTCCATTAATCACTTTAATCTCAACAATTAATCAACATAATCCCCAAATTAAGCAGAATCAATCAATCATACAAATTTTACCCAATCCCTAGCCAAACAACTAATCTAACATCATCATCTAATCAACAAACAACTAAAGAAATCAAGAATCAACAATATATGAAGAACAACTACACTAATCAAGCATCAAACATCAAAATCAATCCAAACAAACAAGAATATTAAACAAAGCAATAAAATGAGATAGAGTTAGAAATTCTCGTTGATAATAGAGAAGATCTTCAACACAATTGTCACCATTGAATCTTCAATCTCCCAATCACCATTAAAATTCCTCACTTTCTCTCTATAAAATCTACTCCTAAACTAACCCTAAAACTAGAGAGAGAAGTTCTCAACTAAGCTAAGAATTGAAGGAATTGTGTCTTCAATAAGTGAAATTACTAGATATATCAAGGATCACTATTATGGAGATAATAAGTTCGTTCTCTTGAGGCGTCATCATCTGTTGCTAGACTATGAGAGATGATCTTTGGACTAGTCAAATAGTCCAAAACCCGCTAGAATGGATCCTATGAGGTCACACACAAGGGTATTGGGTTAAGCAAGTTAGAGGCCCATTAATGGGCCTCATGAGCATTTAACTAATCATGAAATGGATTGGGCTAGCATAGTTAGATTGGAATTAGGTTTTGGGCTTTTGAGATGGACTCTTATTTATAGATGAGATCTATAAATAATATACATGCCTAGGATTAAAAGTAAGTAGTCATAATTCAAACACAGTGTATTTTCAC